GAAGTGCATCCGAGGTCAGGAAAAGGAAACGTGGAAGGTAGGTCCACTAACAGTAAAAAGGACTTATTTCGCCACAGTTTGTGCAGAGGAAAGGACATGTTTCACTTCAACTTACTGTCGCATTCGGCCACTTCCGGTGATATTCCTAAAGTCGAAATCACACCCTTTAATGCATATCATCAGATTTACTGCCTCCTATTCAACCAAAATTGCCCGCTTTTGCAAGCAACCAGACAGCGTCCGTAATGCTACACATTAATATCATGGTGAAGGTAGGCCAAGTTGAGATATGTGGTGAAGGATTGTTCACAATTGCAAAGAATTGTCTTTGCACTCACCACTTTGCGTATAGTCGACGGTCACCGACAGACGGGTTTTGTCCCCTTTCCACGTAAGTACTTCCTGTTGGACATTCGGTAGTAATGTGAAATTTGCATGAAAAATCCTCAGGTTAGCCGTTTCGTTTTTCACCAAGTCATCTACACAAATGAGAAATGAGCACTGGGTTATCGAATGTGCTCCAAACGACAGTAAAATGACCACTGACTTGAATGGAGAACGTGAGCTCAGTGGAGGATATGTGCTAAGTAAATATGGATGTGTCCTTAAGCAAACTCAAGAATAAGCAGAATTGTTACAAAGATTAAAGTGTTTTTACTCACCGCAAATGGTACTGCTATTACGGACTAAGTTAACTCCCCTCCACTCGCAGATCGTTACCCCATTCCGGTCTAGTGAAACCTGTTAACGACATGCATAGGCGTACAATGTGGCAAAAGGCCTGTTAAAATGAGTCATTTTTAAAATTTATGCAAAACTCCACTTTGTATATCTTAACTTGGTTTCGCTTAATTTTAGGGACGCTAAAGCAACTTGGATAAGAGCAGCAAACCGCTTAGTTCGTGTAAAAAAACGACTTACCCCGCCGTTGCTTTTTGATCCGCCAACTGCAAAATCAATTGGGAAGGACTGCTGGCCTTGGACAAATCGTGACAGTGGGAACGACGACTTCAGGTCAACTTCATCTGCCATCAAGAACATCACGACATTAGGTAATTGAGGTGTGAATTAAGTCATTTATGGGCAATCGTTTTGATACCTGGTGAAGGTTGTGAGAAGTTGCAGTATGGCACAAAAAACGTTGTTACAATGGAGATGGAACCATTGGAAATCAAAGACGTCCATAATACTTTTTGCATGTTCACGTCGTTCAAAGTGATGTTAACAGTGCCTAAAATTAGAAAAGGCAAGCTGCAGGAAGGAAAATAGAATTCAAATTATTGGATCCATTTGAATGGACTCTGTAGGGTTTTCCTTCGTACTGCTTCGTCTACCTTTTAGATAAGGCTTAATTCATTGGTCTTGCTTCATTGACACGACTACCTGACTTTGCAGCTCAACGCTGCTATTGAAAGCAGGCAACCATGTTTGAGTTGACCAATCGAATGGTCAAACAAGCCAAGTTTGAGCCACATTACTGAAATGAATCCAAGTTCCTGCTACACAATCTTTGGCTTTTCTAAGTTAGCCAATTTTACATAATCAAAGCAGTGCTTCAAATGCACGTGGATAAGGAGGATTCGACATACCGTTGTAATCCTGACATGGAGTGCCCCAAATTGTGCCATTGACCATGCATTGGCCGTCTTCAATCGTGAGCTGCATCTCTGTTGTCGCATTAAGAACCAGTGCAGCCTAAAGCCAAGGCATTCAGAAGCAAGCATTCGCTGATTAGTGAAAAGCATAAAATTGGGTGGAGCGCAATGTTAATCCTTGTTTGTTTCCATCAACCCTGCCTCGCTAGTAATAGAAACGTCCTCCCCAATGTGACATACAATACCTTTCGTTTAACCATCACAATTCCATACACATTCCTCAAATGCGACACACGTATTTCACTGCAAACATATACTTACGAATTGGTCCCCGTAACGATAGTTCATTGTGTCTGATTTCCCCGACGGCTTGCCGACAACGCGAGAACCCCACAACTGTGGACTTGTTTCGCCTTCAAAGAAGAAGTGTTTGTCACACACCCTTTATATCATCAAGAGGATGCACTGAAGAGCAGTGGAGAGAAGAAGGAAGGGGATCGGGAGAAGCAAGTGGCGAATGAAACGCATACCTGAGCAACATGCCACGCAGAGTAGAACCGCAATGATCGCCAACATGGTGCGCGCCTATGACCCAGGCGGCACATATTGTGCATTTATACATGCCTTACACTGAAATCGTAAATTTGATTGGAGCCCCTCACACATCTGATGCCACATCTATGAAGTGGGAGGAACCTCCCACTCGTTTAATGCTGGCATGAGCTTGGTGTACTTTATCAACTCTGTGTCTGTGGCATACTGGGGCAGATGCAGTAAATATCCACCGCTAAAATTCAAACATTTGATTCCATCCAAACACCATGTCAAGTAAAATCTGCTGGATAGGGCAACGAAACGGGAGCCAAAACGTGCATTGAAGGTAGGGAAGCACAAGGTCAGAGGGACCCACACTTGAGACGACTACGTCTGAAACAAGAGCTCTTATATGCACTAGGGCACTTCTTCGCACTGTTTCGCCCCTCCGCTTGACCACTGTGTATCAAGCCATTCTACTTGCATTTGCTCGTAACACGCCTTTATTTACCGCGGAATGCCAACTACTACTACTACTA